AATCTCCCCAGACTTACCCAATGGCTGTGAACATTCTAAACTAACACGAGTCTCATATGTGTCCAGTTTAAGGGTATTACACAGAAACACACCATAATAACATGAATCAAATATGTACTTTATTCATTTACAATAAATGTGATAAGGTACATCATTCCGATTGGAGCCATACATAATATTTCCATAAGTGGTCCATAACCATTTGTCTAGAGTGTCCTTCTTTATCAATCTAATGGGTTGAAGCCCCAAATCACTTGTGTCCATTAAAAAAGCTGCAAACCACTTGTTATTCTCAAACTTGTTTGCAAATTGTAGGTTGATGGCCATTTGTATATAGTAGGAAGTTAGGAAGGTAGAATCTTCTTGAAGAGGTAAGGAAGCAAAAGTGCTGTACATAAAGGACTTCAGACCAATTAGTTTGATAAGCAACCCTTATAAACTGTTGGCAAAAGTGCTGGCAGGAAGGCTGGGAAAGGTAATTCAGGAGGTGATAGGGGAAAATTAGATGGCTTTTGTAGAAGGAAGGCAAATTTTGGATGGAGTGCTGGTGGCTAGTGAATGAATAGATTCAAGGTTAAGTGTGGAAGATTAGTCTTGGTGTGTAAGTTAGACATATAGAAGGCATACAACCATGTTGAATGGGGATTCTTGGAGGAGATGCAAAGGTTGATGGAGTTTGGGGAGGTTTGGAGAGGGTGGATATATAGGTGCATTTCATCAGCCTCCTCATTGTTAATGAATGGGGTGTCATGAAAAATTTTTGAAGCATCTAGAGGGTTGAGGCAAGGGGACTCACTTTCACCCTTTATTGTTTTAGTCATGGAAGCACTAAACCTAATCATGAAGAAAGGAGTGCAGGGGGGTGGTTAGAAGGCTTTAGTCGGACATGAAGGCCTGTGTATCTCTCACCTACAATATGCTGATGATACACTAATATTCCTAGATGCTTTAGCAAATCAAGTTTTGAACCTTTGAGATGCTGACTGGTCTGAAGGTGAATTTAGAGAAAAGTTTACTGATAGGAGTTGGGAACCTAAGTGTTGAGGAAGTGAGACAATATGCACAAGTGCTGGAAGGTAGGGGAGGCTAGATAGATGGAAAGCCAAGTATCTATCTTTGGGTGGGATAATCACACTCATAAAGAGTGTTTTATTCTTCCCTTGTAGTGTGGCAAACTTCATGTGGAAGTTTTTCTCCTTCCTGTTTGGAGAGAATGTCTTTCATCCTTTGGTCCCAGCAGTGCTATTTTCCAAGTGGCTGAAAATCAGAGTAAGTAAGAAAGCCAAAATCCTGTGGAGCTGTATCCATTTGCAGTATGCTGGTTCATTTGGAAAGAGAGAAACAGAAGAGTTTTTGTGGACAAGGCAAATAATATTGAATATTTTCTAGCAGGAGTGGGCAACTTAATTGCAGCTTGGGCTCTCAGTCTTCCAGAGCTTGACTGATTAGTAGTTGAATGTTGAATCCTTGTAATTTTGATTCCTTTTCAGTGTAATTTCTGATTAGTAGTTGGTTTGTTAATTAGACAACCATCTTTCTGAGATGTAATGCCTGTTTTTCAGTTTTATTGAAATTTCCTTTTTATCCTTCAAAAAGAAAAATACAAAAAAAAAAGAGGGAAAGAAGCAAAGAAACTATTATGATTAGAGTGGCACATTGGTTGAAACCATTGGCATTGTTCTCCAATGTCTCAATGGATGACATTGTAAGAAGTTGGAAGGAAGTGGCTGATTTGTCTACTAGGTTGACTGTTATCAATCCTCAATGGTCTCCACCGAGAAGGGGGTTTATCAGCTCAACTTTGATGGGAGTAGTTTGGGAAACCCCGGGAATTCAGGAACGGGAGGTGTCTTAAGAAATGATGAGGGCAAAATAATAGCTTTTTGTTCAAGCCCGATTGGTGTAAGTGACTCACTAAGGGCTGAAATTATGGCAACGCTAAAGGAAGTACAAAGGGCAAGGATATTGAGCATTATAAATCTAACCATTGAAGGAGACTCAAAGTTGGTTATGGGATGGCTAGAAAGAGAAGAGGCAATTTGGTGGAACTATAACAATGAAAAGAAGAAATTTAGGTGGCTAACAAAAGACATGGAAGTGAGACTACAATGGATCAAAAGAAGTGCAAATTCCATGATCGACACCTTAGCTAAACAAGGGGTGAGAAGTGATGAACATTTTTGGGCACAACTGTAAGACAATGGAAGATTTTTGAGGGGAGAAATAAAACGGTTTATCTCTCACTGATTGTATCTTTATATTGTACTCACTGTTTTCTTATTAATCAATGAAGTTCAAAGCTATTCATAAAAAATAACCTATCTATTGTTATTGTTTCTCCTTTCTTTAGGACTACATGTTTTGTAGTTGCAATTATGAAACGTTTCTGCTATATGGAATTCATTCCTAACTGATTCTGTGGTTCAATTCAAATGTTTTCTTTTGCTATCCAACTATCATATTGTGAATTTATTTTCTAAGTTTTCCATTACAGTTTCCTATACAAGTCATGTAGGCTATTCTTTTTCAGCATATCATCACATTATTTAGTGATGTAAAACTTAATATTGTGCTGGTTTACTGTTTTCTTTTTCTAATGTTCTTAGTAATCTTTTTTGATTAATTTGGCTAACACCTTTGTTATACACATAGGGTAGTAGAACATTGCATAAAGAAACGACTTCAATGGAATACCTGTTTCGCTCGCAAAGTAATTAAAGAAAGCGAATATTATGAGGAGATGATGCGTTACTTGCGTAAGAATCTAGCGGTGCGGATTGAACCCAACTATTCTTTGTTCTACTACAATAGCAGAATAGTTGATCATCCCACTGTGTTCTTTTTTTATTGGTAAATCATGCCACAGGGTTTGTTTATCTGTTCATTGTAATGTTTAATTAAGTGTATTACCTTTTGTTACAACACAGAATACCCAAAATGAGTGTACTAGATATATTTTGTTTTTGCAGAAGAATCTGCAGTCACCTACTTTAGCATGATTCTCATAATGACCAACCATAATGCCTCTATGAAATCTCTTCAACTAATGAATTTAGGATGATTGGGCTCATAAACAGTAAATCATTTATATCATATCTGTTTTATTCTGAACTTACGGCTTCAGTTGGTTTTATCATCCCATTTATTTATATTGGGAATGCCATTTCACCATGAGTGCCTCGGGGATGCTTGGCAACTATCAAGAAGTTCACTTTCATCTAGCAGGGAAGGATCTCTGCTACTGTGGCTCAGAGCTTGGGAAGAGCATTAGAGTTCCAGTGCCGGAGGGAATATAGATTGATTCTTTTATTGATAAAAAAGTCTTCCTATTTATTTATATTTGTTTTTGCAGTATTGATTCTGATGTTTAGCATGTAATCTTAAATACTAATATTTAATTTACAAATGTCTGATAATTCATTATTTTGTTATTTTCTTATCTTGATTTTCTGTCTATTATTATTTCCCAATTCTTGGATAAATTGAGTTTATCATTACAATATTTGCAGCTCTTTCCATATCACCTTGCAGAATACGTTTGTCGAGTAATGCGGGTGTCACCTTTCAGATATTACTGTGACATGATCTTTGAGGTTATGAAAAATGGTAAGAGGGCATTATATAATTCTCCTTCCATTGCTTTGATATGTTATTGTTTTCTGGGTAGAGAAAGAAGAACAAAAGGGAAGAAGCAGAGACAGGAAGAGAGAAGAGAGAAACAAAAAATGGAGAGGCAAAAGTTGTGTTGCTGGCGCCAGCTTTTTCTTATACAATAGGGCAACACAAAAAGGGTAAAAAGTCCAGAGTACCCCTATGGCCCATAATACATAAAGAACTAATTGTTTTAACACTCCCCCACAAGTTGGGACATAATTGTCAATCAAGCCCAACTTGTGACAAGTTATTGTGCATAGATGATGAAAGCCCTTTGTGAAGATATCTGCAAGTTGTTCTTCAAAGCTAACATAGGGACTACACACTTCTCCACTTACGATTTTCTCCTTGATGAAATGCTTGTCAACCTCAATATGTTTAGTTCTATCATGGAGAATATGGTTGGCTGCAATGTTGATAGCAGCCTTATTATCACAATAAAGTGACATGGGATTATGAACAGTAAATCCCAGTTCACCTAACATGTTTTTTATCTACATAACCTCAACAATTCCATGGGACATAGCTCTATACTCCGCTTTTGCACTGGACTTAGCTACCACATTTTGTTTTTGCTTCGCCATGTGACTATGTTTCCTCCTACAAAAGTGCAATATCCACTTGTAGACTTCCTGTCATCTATTGCCCTTGCCCAATCTGTGTACACTTCAACTTTTAAATGCTCATGTTTCTAGAGCAACAAACCAGCACCTGAGAACTTTTTCAGGTATCTAAGAATTCTCTCAGCAGCTTCAAGATGTGTAGTCTTAGGATTATGCATAAATCGACTAAAAACATTCACAGCATAAGCAATGTTGGGTCTGGTCATGGACAAATATAAGAGCCTGCCAACAAGTCTTTGGAATTGCTTTACATTTTTTATAGGTTCTCCCTGACTGTCACCAAACTTGTAATTTTGATCAATAGGTGAATCAACCGGCTTCACCCCTTACTTCCCAGTGTCCTCCAATAGATCAAGAACATATTTCCTTTGAGAGATGAATATCCCCCTTTTGGAGCGAGCAACTTCAATTCCAAGGAAATAACGCAAGGGACTTAGATCTTTCACCTCAAATTGTGTGGCCAAGAACTCTTTCAATTTCTGTATTTCTGCTGTCCAGTCACCGATGACTACTACGTCATCAACATACACAATTAAGGCTGCAATTTTTCCTTCATCTTTCTTCATGAACAATGTGTGGTTTGATTGACACTGTTTAAACCCTATCTGTTGAATAGCTAAGTGAAACTTGCTAAACCAGGCCCGCAGTGATTGCTTTAGTCCATACAAAGATTTTTTCAACCTGCATACCTTCTCCTCACTACCTTTTGCACAAAAGCCTGGGGCTGAGTCATGTACACTTCTTCTTCTAAATCACCATTCAAGAAAGCATTTTTAGTGTCTAGTTGATGAAGATCCCAATCAAAATTAGCTACCAAAGATAGGAAGACTCTAATGGAATTCATCTTGGCAACATGCGCAAAAGTATCTGCATAGTCCACACCGTACACTTGAGTAAACCTTTTTGCTACCAATCTTTCCTTGTACCTTTCCACTGTACCATCAGCCTTGTGTTTAACTGTGAACACCCACTTACAGCCCATTGGTTCTTTTCCTCTAGGAAGATCAACTAACTCCCAAGTGCCATTTTTATGTAAGGCATCAATTTCTTCCTTCATTGCACCTGTCCATTCAGGTATAGATAAGGCTTTTGTCACATTCTTAAGGATAGAGACACTGTCAATGGAGGTAAGAAAAGCACAAAAAGAGGGTGAAACATGATTATAGGAAACAAAATGGGAGATAGGATGCTTAGTAGTACAAGATCTAACACCCTTTCTCTTAGCAATAGGAACATCCAAATTATTAATAGCAGAATCATCAACATCAATAGGATCAGACATATCAATAGGAACAAGAATACTTGGGTGAGGAAGATTTGCCTCTAGAGAGTCTGATGAGATTGGTGGCATAACTTCAGGTTGCTCTGCAGTTGTTGAACTTTGTTGACCCTTATTACGACGAAAGAAGACACGAAATGGAGGAGGATCAGGAAGAGGAGGGAGCTGAACTTGTGCTTGAGCGCGTTTCTCTTCCACCCTACTCTCCCCCTGAGGAGAAATAGGAAAAAAAGGAACGTTCTCAAAAAAGGAGACATCCATGGAAACATAATACCTATGAGAAACCGGATCAAAGCATCAATAGCCCTTTTGAGAGGAAGGATAATCCAAGAAGACACATGGGATAGCACGGGGGTCAAGTTTATCACGAGTAGGAGATAAATTATGGACAAAGCATCGACAACCAAAAACACACATAGGAATGGAGAACCAAGGGGCCTTGGGAAACAACAATTGATGTGGAGCCTTGTACCCTAATAGCCGAGATGGCATACGGTTGATAATATATGCAGCAGACGTAACGGCTACAATCCACAAACGTTTAGGAACATTCATGTGCAATAACAACCCATGAGCAACTTCAAGAAGATGCTGGTTCTTTCGTTTAGCAACACTGTTTTGTTAAGGTGTTTTAGCACAAAAGCTATGATGAAGAGAACCGCATGAGGCAAAAAACTCTGTAAGATCACTATGGAAATATTCTTTTGCATTGTCAGACTAAACGATGTGGATCTCAGTTTGAAACTGGGTAAATATCATGCGCTAAAAATTTTGCACAATCTGTGGTACCTCATCTCTGGATCGCATTGGATAAACCCAAGTGTATCGAGAATAGTCATCAATCAATGTGATAAAATATTTATATCCCGTCTTAGAAGGTAGTGTAATAGGGCCCCAAACATCAGAGTAGATGATATGAAAAGGAAAATAAGATCTTTTATTTCTCACTGGAAAAGAGTTTCTATAATGTTTACTCAACTGACACGTTTGACACTGCAACTCATTTACTAACAAAGACTTAAATAACTCTGGAAACACAATCTTCAAAGACTCAAAAGACAAATGACCAAGACGACGATGCCATAAATAAGCTTTTTACTAGAGTGACTCATAGACTTTGAAGCAACAAGACCAGCTTTACACCATATTACCTCTACCAATCATCCTCCTGGAGGTCAAATCCTGAAAGATGCAATAAGAAGGGAAAAAGGTTACTGAGCAATTTAAGGAATGAGTAATACTGCTAATAGAAAGTAAATTGATAGGTAACTTAGGAACATGTAACGCATTAGAGAGAGTGAGGCCAAAAGGCAGAGAGATGGTTCATTGACCAACAATGGAAGAGAGGGACCCATCAGCTAGTCTCACATTGTCTCTCCCAGAGAGGAGGTTATATGCTTGAAACAAATTGGACTTACCCGTCATGTGATTTGAGGCTCCAGAGTCAATGATCCAAGGAGACTCAGATGAGTGAAATGAAACATGGAAGGCAGTAGCAGAGTTACCTGATGTAGATGCAAAAGAGGTAGATGGTGTAGGACCTGAGTCCATCTAATGAAGTGTCCTACCATACAATTCCAAATGATCACAGAAGGAATTGATAATCTCTTCCTTTGGATCAGAACCAGTAGGGCGATCGTGAGGTACAGTGGGGGATGAGGTCTCTTGAGTTGCCACATTTGCTGAATTGTACTTCTTTTGGCTTTGCTGTATTGGCTTCTTATTTTGATCAGTTGATTTTTTGCTCAACTCTAGAGCCCACTTCGGCTTCCCATGAAGACTCCAACAAGTCTCTCTAGTGTGCCTAGGTTGCTGACAATGAGTACACCACAGTTTGTCCTTATCTTCCACCCTTGTTTTGGAACCACCCTTCTTAAAAGGGTTGTTGCCATTCACATTAGTACCACCCCTAGCTATCAAAGCAACTGGCTCCCCCTCAGAAGTATTCATCACATTTCTACTTTCTTCTGACTGCACTAAAGCATAAACTTCTTGCACTGAAGGGAGGTCTTTACTTCCAAGGATTTGAACCCTAATAGATTCATACATAGGGTTCAGTCCCAGTAGAAAGGCAAACGCCCTCTGTTGGGAGGCTAGAGTCTTGTAGGCTTTGGCATCATCTTCACATTTCCAATTCACATTCTGGTAGTGATCCAACTCCTTCCAAACTGAAGTCAGGTCTGAGTAATATATGGAAAGACTTCTTTCCCCTTGCTTACATGTAGTAGACACAGCTTGCAGTTGATATATTTTCGCATAGTGTCACTGTTCTGAATAGGTTGTTTTTGCTTGTTCCCAAATTTCAGCAGCAGTCTCAGCTCACATAAAATTTCTCCTTACTTGTGGGAGCATTGATACAAGTAACCATGACATTACCATACTATTCTCTTGTTTCCATTTGTCGTGTTCAGCACTCCCAGACCTTGGTTTTTTAATTCTCCCATTGATGTACCCAATTTTTCCCCTTGCTATAATGTAAAGCTTAATCCCTCTTGACCACTCCAAATAATTGAGGCCATCTAATGGAACAACAGCCATGGGGAAGGTCATGTCAACACTCCCACCTAGTTCACTATAGCTGGAAGACATACCTGAGGTGGCTGTATCTTCAGAGGTCATGGAAAAAAAGGACAACTGAAAAGCACTTCCAACTACAGACCAGATGTCTCAAACACACAAATGTAGGTTCTGGTATCGGACAGCACTGAGACAAACTTTACCAGAAAAAAAATTCACACATCTGACAACAATCCAACACCAAAAAAGAGTGCAACCACAGTGCTAGGTTATCCCCCAAAAAAAACGTCACAGTACAAAGGAGAAGGTCCTTCAGTCACAGTTATTCATTCAAGAAAGGTCACACAATGACCATAGCCACCAAACTGGACTTACCTCTGTTATTGCAGTCACCACCAATCATTCTTGACCTGTAAACATTGCCCATATGGGTACAGGAAGGATCACACGATCCTTACAGGTGTAAAACACCACCCAAAATCTTCACAGCATTCTGTCACCACGAGCAAACAGCTCTGTCTTGGCACACCGCC